GCCAGGAATATCTCAAACTCCTCTATTGGATGAAATGAAAAAAAAGCTGTTCATCTTTAGTGTTGTTATTTTCCATTCAGCTTAATCATATCTTTCAGATAGGTTACCAAAGGAGTTCAGAGGACACTACTCTTCATTTAAATAGATGAACTTTAAAACCTTCTGATTCTGAAGCGAAAAAACTTTTTGGTTTTTTTCCAGTACTGCTGAGGCTGAAGCAATAAAACAATCGTTACATATAATTTTAATGAAAACACTGTGAATTAAAAATAATCATTAAAAAAAAGTCCAGGCATCACCATGTCTCTGGCCAAGAAAGCTCCTTGAAAATACAGAAGAAAAAGAGCAAAGGTCAGACATGGAAACATTCCCACATTTCCTTCCCTCGGTAAGTTCCTCTGTAAGAAATAATGGAAGCAGCACACAACCTTCAGAAAACAGCTCGATTTCCTAAAGACTAACACCCCCTTGCCCTAAAAAGCTCTCAGAAATTCAAACGCACATGAAAATCAGCTTTGCCTCTGTGTTGTGATAGCTATAAACCTTCCATGTACCAGCCCAACTCTGCTTTCTCAGGCAGTCCCTCACCACATCCTGGCAAAAGCACAATCCTGCCAGCGCAGCAGTGCTGCTACCAGGGGAACCCGCCAGCACCGTTATGCACGTTGTAAATCAGACCCTGCTACACTCTAGACAGACCTGTGCTAGAAAAGGCTTGCACTGCAACCCCAGCCAACTTGACAAGCCACAGCAGAGAGCAGGCTGCAGCCACTGGCTAGCTGGGGTGTTTGTAAAAGCAATGCGGGTGGGCTCAACCATGTCCTTCTATAAATCCTCACGTTTTAATGCTGTCAGTCTTCAGACAACAATCACCTCTGCTCTATTATGGGATTATATTTTCACTTGATCTAAATATTCCTCTAAGAAATTGTTTCATTTATATTATGACAATAGAGTCTGTTTTCTTCCTTGATAAAAAAGTGCAGATTTTTCACATATGCAAACAAAGGTTCATTAATATTCCTCCGTTCTGCTTTGGAATACCTAAAATTCTAGCATGCACCTTATATAAATTAGCCAAACTCTTGCCATGTTACCTACTTCAAATGGTTTTTAGAAGTACTTTTCACTTATTAGAAACATTAATAGATTGCATGGAACTACATGACTTATACTCTGGAAGTGCCTTTAGACCATGGTATTTAAATGACAGGAGATACAGACACGAGATAGGACAATGATTCAAAGGAAGCAAGCTACAAGGATTACTGATGTTAGGTGCTTTTCTCAAGGCAAACTAGGATAGACACGAGAGGCAAAAAAAAGGGAAACCAGAGGGGCAGAAACATGAACAAATAACCTAGGAACTACAGGCGGGAGCACAGACTCCAAGGTCCTTGCACAGACTCCGCAGCCTAATGAAATCACTGTGTGTTGTCCCAGGGCTTTCAACAGGCACCTTCACTGCGACTCCCTTTGTGTCAGAAGCCCTTTGTGTCACACTGGCTTTGATTCAATGAAACTGTTAGTTCCAACTTCCAACATACTATTTGATTCCAGTGAAGCCAATGGCACTAAACTGCATACATTGTTTATACCATGCTGCACTGAAAGGAATATGATTATTAAGAGAGGGGACAGGAAATCAATAGCATAGAAAATAGCAATGTGAAAAGAAGGCAAAAGCTGGAAGTTTGATGGAAGAAGACATGCATTTAAGCAGAGACAGGAAATGTAGACAGAGCATTGTTACTGTACTGAAGATGATGGGACAGTGACAGCATTACAACTTTCAGAAAAATAATATAGGCAAAACAACTTCTAGCCTGAAGCCTACGCTGCTGGAGGAGTTCTGCCATCTACATGAATGAAGGAAGTAAAAAATGTGACTAGAACGTCTCTTGCTTCTTCGTAATAACCACTGTTTCAGAATCAGCTGACTTCTGCTTTAAGAGAAATCTCCATCCTTTTCAGGTGGATGAAGAAAATCCAAATGAAGAAAATCCAAAAAGCTGAGATGAAGCAAAGCTGTCATCCAATCTCAGAAATAACTTCATGCTGTTCCATTTTTAGTATCTTCACTCACAACAAAACTATTTTCTTTGTGAGCTTCACCAAACACATGGCATCTGCAAGTGAATTAATCTTATTGATTATCTAATACTAGCTGTCAGCTCTTGCACAATGTATGCTGGAATTAAGCACAATATATGCTTAATTCCGAGACAATAGAAACCTGCTCCTAAAGTCTACTTTTATACCTGAAAATGTAAAATTACAGAGCCTACAGATGCTATAAGCATCTACAGCATCTATATACCTATATAGCAAAGGGATAAAAACTAGATTATAATAATTTCTTTTTATATCTAGCAAGCTCAACCACCAGCATCCACATGGCCCAGAGAAATCAGTGTCAACGGTCATTCTGTACAGTTTTTAACTTCTTGCTTACAGTCAAATCAAGCAAAAACAATCCTTACGGTGTGAAGACACTGTAGACCCACTTACTCTAATCAGTTTTCAAATTCTTTAGGAGATACTTAACTCTCACCTTCTGGGATACCACTATGGTCAAAACAAAAATATTTCAAGTCCTTCTGTGATTTCTTAGATAATAATAATAAAGAAATTCTATGGTCAGATTACAATTTTTTAAAAAGCTTTCTTTCCAGCAGCTGCCTATTATACTTAACAGGCTTCACACAAAATGAGTCAAAGATCACGAGTAAGTTATCTGAGGTGTCAAGTGCACAAGGTTAAAGGTGAAATTTTATTAGGTCAAAGGTGATATAAATCTTTTATGTCAAAGCAGAAGGGTCACAGACAAGATGTATATAATCTAAAGACATCACAGATGACAAGTAATAACTTTAAGTAGTACAAGTGTGTTCTCACTACAGATACCTTCATTGACAGAGAAACTGAAAACAGTGACGGGTAACTGTGAGTATTGTAATGCTTCCCTGAAATATGGTTTTACTTCAGTATAATACACTGGGAAGTTTTTCTCAAGTATTTCAAAAGTCACCCAAAGTTACTAAATGCTTTAGTGACGGGGAGGCACCGTTTGGCATTAAGAATGAGGTACACAAAGCGGATTGCTCTGGTAAATGCTCTTGCTTTTCTACTTTACAATGACCGTATCTTTAGCATGTGCATCTTATTACTGCTCTCTGGGGAAAAAAACACCCAATCCAAACAACAAACACAGCAGAAAGGGCCTCAGGCCAAGGGAATTTCAGATTACAACAGTATAGTTCAGAATTGTGTATTCAGGCTAATGAAAATATAGCTACAAATAATACATGAAATATCTAACAATAGAAGCATCTATATGTTGCCAGTATGCCAAATACTACGCACCATCTTGATTAAGGATATTTAAATCTGCTATTATAATCATCAAGCTGTTTATTCAGTTAAAACTGTTCTCTCCTTTTGCTCCTGCACTAAGTATGCATTCAAGAAACTCCATACCTTAAACCTTAGCCTTGGTCTTAAGTTCACATCAAAATATTTTGCTGACTAACACTAGATTTAAGCACAAAAATCGAGATATCTGTGCCCTCTAGTGGAACTTCTTTTTCACCAGCTGGGCACAGATGTAGGAGTTCTAATGTGATCCTTTTTTCTGGAAGCTGGAATTGTTAAACTATCAAATTAAATGTTGTGAATAGTGTATAAAACCCAGTCAATAGAAAATCTAGTTCACTGCTTTCCTTCATATTTATCTGATGGAAATCTCTCAGCTTCTATTTCTAGGAAAATGGATGTAGTGTGAAGCCTCATATATCCAATTAGGTAAACCAGGCATCTTAAAACCAAATCCAAACCCACACAAGCTCCACTAAGCACCGTCAAAGAGGAAAGAAGAAACTGAAAAGACAGTTTATGTACTTTCATTACAGCTAGGAAGGGGGAGGCAAACTGCAACTCAGCAAAATTTTATTCCTCCAGACTACTGTATCTCAACCAATTTTTTTACTGTTTTTCCAGTGGTAACCTCCTCTCTGGATTTCAGTACCTCGGAGACTAAATTTTCCAAAGCTTTTCAAAAAGGAAAACGAAAGATGGTACCACTAGTTTTCAGCTACAAAGGAAAGGATGAGACAGCCAAAAATCAGAAGTACCGAGCAGCGTCATTTGAATAGGCTTGGAAATATTTTTGAACACGCTGAAGTTAAACCTGAATCAGCCCTGAAGAACCAGCTTATACAATATTTCTGCCTAACATCTGACAGGTATAATGCAGGGGCATTCATAAATGTTTTGGATAAAACAGAACTCAAAGGCTGATTGTTAGAATTTGTCTTACAGAAAAGGCCTTGACTTAATACTGTAGTTCAATTCAGGCGACAACACCAAGAAATTAAATCAGACAACCATTCACAAGTCTTTTCTTCAAAACAGCATCATTTCTTGATTTACTATAAAAAGTCCTCAATGTTTCCTAAAAATCACTCAAAATGCAAATTCTTCTGAAGAAGCTACTGAAAAATGAATTACTGCTCTTTCTAGCAGTGCTAATACTTGCAAAGCATTTCCAATCTTACATTTGAAAGTAATTTAGCACTGCAAATTTCAGCATGAGTGAGTGACCTCGAAGCAGAAGATAGCACATCTGATTACCTAAAAAGGACTAAGATATTTTAAACAACAGGAAGGAACAACAACAATAAAGTAAGGCAAGACAGGAGATTTTTATGATGAGAAGATATAGTGAGATGAAAAATGCGTTTGGATTAACAGAAAAGCAACATGTGACATTTTATTCACAATCTATTTTAAATGGCAATTGCCTGAAGTATTTGACTCCACTGTTTCTTTCATTCCTTTTCATTGGTAGTCTCTATTCAAAAAGGCACTTAGCATTCCCATGCTAACACAAACACTCTTGTTCGATTCCTTTGTAAGAATTTTCAAGACTTTCTTAGACTACTGAGCTGGATGGCATTTAAAACTGGAAATAATATAGAAGAAGATACTATAAAACTTACCACTTCTTCATCTGAAAGCTCTCGCCCTTGTATACTACTGTTCTCTCGCACAGCTTGTTGGTGTTTTTTTCCTTTAATGTGGCTAAAAAGGTATACTTCTGATGAAATCTGTAATGACAATGACTTAACAGTCATTTTCCCCTCAATAATTCATAAATCTATAAATAACAGTGTTATGCAGGACTCCAGAGTAAAAGATCTCCCTGCTTCCTACTCAGTGACTATATGGCTTCCTCTTCTCCACCGTTCCTGGGACATACGGAATCGTGGACACAAGAAGAGATACCCTGTTTACATTGGAGGTCTGCCTGGCAAAGTACTTCGCTTCCAACAGTGACCAAAAAAGAAGATACCACAGGAAAAGAGGAGACAAAGCAAACGCTGGTTCTCCCATTTGGCACTTCTAAGCCTCCAACCAAATTTAGTTCAAGAACTTCTTGAGCTTGATGTTGTTTCTCTGTATCTAGGAACCTTCAGCAAATTTCAGTACAATGAAACTTGTCCAGTCACTCCCCGAACTAAACTCAAATATCCACAGGATCTTGTAACAAGGTGTTCACAGCTCAGCTACCTGCTATGTAAAGAACCACGGTTTTTACTTTAAATCTAGTGTTTAACTACCTTCATTTGATGGTAGTTAAATGCTTTCTTTAATTTGATGCTCTCGAATTCTTGCTTTTCTTAGAAGAGACAGCTAACAACCAGGTACTGTCCGCATTCTCCATTCAACCTTCAACTCTACAGTTCTTTCAAATCTTCCCTAAACCACCTGATTTACAGACAGAAGAATCCAAAATAAGGTGCACTTTACAAGAGCAGAGCAGGGACACAATGGGTGTGCAGTACTCTCATCTGTGAATGAAGCGTAACTTGTAGCTTCAGGGCTTAGGTTGGCCTTGCATTTCTGATAGTGTTCCTCCCCTCTACCCAACTTACCATCACATTGCATAATGAGCACTGTTTTTTTCGTTCATATGGTGTAAGTTTTGGTGCATAATCAGTATTAGCATGTCTTCCACTACTTAATTCAGCTGCTTTCTCTTTCCTTTGTTCAATTTGTTCCATGTGCCTTCTAATACTTTCATCATGCTGAATGGAAAATAATCAAAGCAACAAAGAAAACACATTGAATTACAGTGAATGGAATTAAACTGTACAAAGAAATATGAGGAATTACCAACTATACAGTTAGGATGTACTTCTGGTAAATTGAAACTATTTTTCATTTCTGAAAGGCATTAGAAGTCACCACACATCAGACACTACAATTTAAAAATCATCAGCGCCAATTCTGTTTTACAGCAAATCCACCTCTAAATCTTGTTGCTGTATTTAACATTCCTGATTTTGCTCTTAATGAAACACTCAGAATACACGTTCAGAATACAAGTTCAACTCTTATCCTTTTATACCTTCAGTTGAATCTTCTTCTGTAGTTCTTCCATGGCTTCTTGTTGAGCTGCAGTAAGAGCCGCCAACCTCTCTTCTCGATCTCTAACCAAGGGATAATATACGGAAAACTTGTAAATGTGAAGTATGCATAATACTGACTAATTCATGTGTGAAACAGAACCCGTAATTGGGAGAACAAGCACCCAAAAGAATTAAGCTGAAGATGGCTCCGCAGAAGAGAAAGACAACAAAAAGCAGCTTATAAAGAATGCAATGCTTTTATTTTGATGATTTTATAAACATAGACACTAGCATCTTTGTAGCAAAACCTAGATCATACTTCAGTCCAAAACGGAGCAATGACAGTCAACGTAACACTGCAGAATAGTGATGAATGTGATAACCTGCCACCACGAGCATTCTCCAGCCAATGGCTAGAGTCAGTGAACCAAGGGGGAGGAGAACAGTGGCAAATCAAGGAAAAAACAGACAGCAATGAGGGCAGTTTGTTTTATAAAAGTGTTGATGAGTGGCAGTTTGAATATATAAACTCATTAATAAAACTTTGACCAGCATCAAATGATACAGTCATCAGTGATAAACTGATGCTCTAAAATACTGCAATTCTAAATGTTCAACATACCAAAGGATAGCAAAAGATTAGGCATTTATCTTACTGTCACCTTCTCTACATCGTTGCAGTCAGGATGTATTTTGCTCACTGAACTTGTCTGCCCTGCATCCCTCTTCCAAAAAGTGAATCACGCCTCAAACTCAAGTTGTCCTCTTCACTTTTAGCAACTCTCCATCCCCTCCCCAGCACAGGTCCAAAGCACAGCTGTCGTGCATCTGGATGTCAGTAAGAGCCTGTGAATTCCCTAAGCATCACCCTATTAAGGAGAAACCTGCAGATAACAGTCATCAGTAAGCCAAGAACTGGACATCTGTGAAAGACCAAAAGAAGTAATGAAAGCTTTGAGTAAAACTGGGCAATGAAGAAGTTACTCAAAGCCATAGCCACCTTTTTAAACTACATGCTAAAATTAAAGTTATTGAGAGACAAAACTAGAAAAGCTGACATAAAGAGTATTATCCAAACCGCAGTGCTTTTAGGGTTACGCACAGCTCTGTTTGGGTTTTTGAAACAGAAAACTGACAGAAAAAACAAAGTCAGTTCTGTAAAAGCAGGAGGCTGGGATAAAGTAGTATTTTCAAACAAAAGCCACAGAAAATATAAAGGCAGATAGGAAAGAAGATGGGGAGGAAGCAAGTCCAATGATAAACACTACACACAATTGTCCTTTCAGACAGGATAAGTGGACTCTTCCAGTCACCATGGGCGTGGAGGGGGGTGAGGAAGAGATGATGGATGAGAAGCCTTAGGTACTTTATGTGCTATCTCCCCTGAGGTACATAAAGAAAGACTGAACTACAGTCTGTGTTTTTGTTTTAAAGAGCTCCTGACTCACACCATGAGCTCAAACAAATCACAACACATGAACCAAACCCAAAGCTTATTTTAGCTATTTCTTTCAGTATGCGTTTATACATCTTTGTTTAATCCTCTAATCTATAATAAATTAATATCATTGCATACTTCAGGTTAATAATATTTGAAACAAAACTCTGAAGTTGTGATTGATAGAGCATCACCATTACTCCTGCACAAGCCTTCTGAGCAGCATGCTTTTTACATGATCAGGTTACACTGCAGTTTTATGATTTCCACTGACAAGAACAAAATTTTCCTTATTATGGATTTTGACTCTCTGGAATATAAAATACTCTGAAATTACATCTAAAACCTTGCTGGAATCAAGTTAATGAACCATAAGGGCAGGGAGGCTTTTAAAGTCAGCTTTAGGTACACTATTCCTTTCATACAGATGCTTTAATCACCACCAGATGCACATGGCAAAGCTTATACTGAAGAAAGTTTAAGCAGATATTCCAAAAATTACTAATTCCAGCAAGTACTAAATCTTCAGGATAAGAGACAAATCCTAGCAGCAGGGGAAAAAAAAGCAACAAAGCAAACCACCAAATGATACCCCAAGGTTCCACCAAAATAGGCCAAAGCTCTCTCGTGTAATCAGCATCTGGCAAAGAAAATGAAGCATGGTACTGCAATAGCAAGTACAAAGCATTTGAAAACTGAGTGCCATCCGAGCAAATACAGAGGAAATTTGACCTCTTCCTCAGGGATTGTAGTGATAGGACAAGAAGAAATGGGTTCAAGCCTAGACAGGGGAAGTTCAAGTTGGATATAAGGAAGTTCTTCCCTGTGAGGGTGCTGAGGCGCTGGCACAGGGTGCCCAGAGAAGTGGTAAATGCTCCATCCCTGGCAGTGTTCAAGGCCAGGCTGGATGTGGCTTGGAGCAACCTGGTCTAGTGGAAGGTGTCCCTGCCTGTGGCAGGGGGCTGGAACTGGATGATCTTAAGGTCCTTTCCAGCCCTAACTATTCTATGATTCTGTGAAAGACAGTACTACCAGAAGGCAAACTGCAAATGCTGTTCTTCACATGTCATAATGAAATATAAATGGGGTGCAACAAAGGAAAGTAGCAGACTTAAAACTGGTTAAACAAAAAGAGCAAATAATTACATGTCTTGAGGCTTTAGAGAAGTTCTAACCATAGAAGATTTCAGAAACCAAAGCTGTCAGTGGGCCAATTCTCTCCCATTTGCTTGCTGTGAGGGTTTCCTCAAATTTCAGAAAGATCTAGAAGCCTTACACATGCAGTGTCTATCCACCCCAAATAGCCTAACCAAAATTCCCCATTAGTCCTAACCTTCTTCAAGTGCCTGTGAAGGACAAAAAGATACTGAAGGATCCCTCCCAGCTCACTCTATCTCATTGTGACTTTAGCTCAACACACTGAGGAAAGGTCCATGACGTCCTGGGCAAGGCCACAGATCCTATCCACAATTCATTAAATATCTAATCAAAAAATAGAATCTCTTTATGATGTCAAACTAGAATTACTCATGACTTTGGAAGATGACCAATACATTTCTGAATATTTCACGTGGATAAAAAAGCCAAACCTCTCCATGACAACTTTGAAGGAAACAAGCTGTGACAATAAAAATGTTTAAAGAAGCATTAGTGAGCACTTCTTGTCATCAGACAAGTGTAACTTCTATTTAGATTCTACAGAATGCCTGTGGCAGAGGAACCGCAGGAGAAGAGGGAATAACAGAAGGTGAATACAAACAGAATTTGGCAAATGAAACAATAATCAGAAAGCAGTTTTTCCTGAATCAGACTTGAAAGTCCGCTTTCCTCATACACTACAATGCCACCCAACATTCATTCTCCCTTCACTTCATGGTTGGCTCAAAAGAAAGAGAGAAGAGCCCATATGAAAACCCCTTCATAAACTTTTGATCATGGGCAAAACCATAAACCAAGTAGTTGGAAGGCAACAGAATTAATGAAGCCCGATTTCCCGGCTTTGTGCTTCACAGAGGTAATCTCTGGTGTCTGCAGAAAAGTGAACTCAAATTGATGCCAGTAGGTCCAAAAGTTACCGGAGAATGGAGGAAATAGGGAACCCAGGGCCATTAATCTTCCTTCCTTTGAAAACTAAGCTATGAAAAAGGCAAATTATCTAAAGGTCTTGTTCGCAATAAAATTAAGATGAACATAATAAAATGCAGCTTTGCATGTTATATAGTGCATGCACCTAAGGAATACAAAAATCTATTACAGAACTTATGATTACTCACCTGATTTCTTCTTTAAAACTATTCATCAAGAATCTTTACGAACGTTACTTTTCAAATACTAAGCCTGAAGAGCTCAGAAGGTACCACTGTTGACTGCTGTTAGAGAGAAGCTGCAGTTTGCTGCAAAGGATAACCAATGAAATGATTGCAAAGCTACCTGGCCCTCTCCCGTGCCGCATCCTCTCGTGCTTTTTCTTTCTCTTGCCTCTGCTGTTCAATCCGTGCTTCTTGTTCTTTCCTCTTCATTAGCAGCTCCTCAACTCGGGCTTGCCGTTCTGCTTCGAGGGCTCTTTTGCGCTCCTAGTCAGAGAAAAGGAAACTCTAACTGTTCTTTTAGGAAAATAACCAAAAAAGAATCAACGGAAACTGTATTTTAACATCTGCTTAGAGAATTTTATCTTGCTTTCATGATGGAGTAAGAACTGCTTTTTTATTAGATCAGCTTTTGCATAAGCAACCTCAAGGGTACTTTTCACTGATAACACAGTCACCCCTTGGAAATCCAGACATTTTTAATTATATATTCTCTCAAAAATAGTTTCACCCAGGACTTTTGGAGTACATTCTGCCACAAAAACAGCTTCTGAGCCACTGAAGTCAGTAACATGCCCCATTTTTCAACAAGGAGATAGAATCAGCGGCTAAATTCTAAGCTCTGGCTGGATTCACAAACGATCTACAGTTGTGGTGATCTGAGGCATGTACAGAGAGGGAGGAAGAGTTTACATAAGAAGAAAACTGATGGTTTAGATTCTAACATAGATAACAGTGCCAAAAAAATGGATGCATGAGACTGGGAAAACTTAGTATTGAAATGATGTTGGCATATGACAAGGAGTATTTTTCTGTTTCCTCTCAAAGTTTTAAGAGTTACCAAAATATGAAGCTTTTCTTATAATGGAGTAACAAATATTTTTAAAAAAGAAGGTTAAGACAGGCATGAATCATCTATCCCGCATTTTTAACACCTCTGCTATAGAGGCTTCAAGACTTGCCTTTCTCCCTCTTACTGCTAAAACATAAACAAGGAACATATACTTTTCCAGTAACAGAAGGTAAGAACAAAGGAGGTTAAGATAGAAAACAAAGACTGCATAGCCAAAATTAAAACCAAATCATATCTAATTGTTCCCCTGCAACTATAGATATATCGTACCTGAACTGCTTCATCACGTGCTTGTTTTTCCTCTTGTCTTCGTTGACGCTCCTCTTGTAATTCATTTAAGCGTTGTTCATATTCTTTTAGTTTATTTAACACATCATGACGTTTGTTCTGAGCTTCTAAGGTGTTTATAAATGCAATTTCATTTACCTGCAAGTCATCAGAAAGTGTCAGAAAAGATGTGTGAAGTTGAAAGAAGTTTTCATTCTTAGGGAATTTCACCCATGTGTTAATGATCCATTTGATAATTAAACTTGTCCAGAACGGGTTGGAAAACTACCAAGTTGAGAATAAGGCTTTGGGGTTTCATTGGGGGTTTTTTAGTTTTGTTTGTTTTTCTTTTTGTTTTAAACAGGAAAGCCCATGGAATATACACATGAGAAATTGAATTGTATCAGAAAAACAAAAAACTTTGGCTAAATACCAGGAAGATCTTCCCAGTCTTCTCAGCAATGAGACTTTATTAGTCTATTCTCTCCTCCACAAAAAAGACCCAGCTGGATAAATCAGTTACACTTGTTAAGTGCTAGTAGAATCCAACAGGTCTTTTGATCTAACTTTAAATATATGGGTACTTACTGAATAAAAAGTGAAACTATACGTACTGTGTATAAGAAAATAGAAGCTGCTCAATGTCCTGCTCTTTCTTATCAGTATAGGCTATTTCTCAAACATATATATTATTTTTTTCAACCACAGGACAGTGCAATAGACAAGAACAGAAAGGAAATAATATGAAAAGGCTAACCTGAGTACTTTAATGTGTACACCAAAAATATCAAAGATGCTTTTCCACTATTTGGGTTCATGAAGGTAATCAATATTTTGTCCTCACCACAAGATTGCTGAACAAAATTCTTGACAACTTTAGGCTTTTAAATGCAAATGCTCTATAAACTCATACGGATGAGGAAAATAAAATTCAATCAACTCTGATTTAATAAAAAGCAACATTTTAGATCAAAATTTTTTTGAGGAAAATCAAAAAGATTTATCACCTATAAACCATACTTAACGGTTTATGATTGAAATAGAAATTATATGCTGTACTCAAGAGTTCATGCTCTGTCTGAATCCACAAAAGCAGTGAGTAAAGAGAAGATACATAGTCAGACAACAATAGATCATGTAAAAGGGTGGTAGGATAATATTTGTTGCTATGTTTACTGACTAGAATCCATTTACAGGATGGATTTCAACATTCAGTAAACAAGTAAGCACTAGGAATTTAGATAATCAATTGGGCAGCAACAATTACTACGGTGTTCAGCTATACTAGTCTTCAGGTATTTCTTTAAAGCCTTCTGGCCCAATTAAACTTTATTTCCAGAACACAAGAACCTCAAGAGGCAGCAGATCTTACACCTTCAACCACTCAAAATACTTGAAACATCTGCTTAGGTGGAGAATTATGGCAAGTGTGATTTAGTTAATATGATTAGAGAAGTCAAACTGGTGTAATGAAATAATAATGAACGTATGTTAGACTCAATTAGATAACCTAAGAATCATTTTAATCCCAGAGACAGAAACGGCAACTTAATACAAATGTTAGATCAGTTTTGTTGTGCTTATCTTAAATAACACAGATGAACAGCCACATCAATCACAGCTGGGATACATGCTCATTAGATAATGCAACACCTTTGTTTTAAGGAGATGCATGTAGCTTTACTTGGGAAGAAGTCTTTAAAATTAAAATATTCCGTTTATGTTGTGCTGGTTTTGGCTGCAATGGAGTTCATTTTCTTTGCAATAGCTAGTATGGGGCTATGATTTGGATTTGAGATGCAAAGAGTGTTGGTAACACAGGCATATTTTCATTACACAGAGTCAAGGCCATCGCTGGCTCTCACCCTGCTCCACTAGTGAGTAGGCTGGGGGTGCACAAGAATTTGGGAGCAGACACAGCCAGAACAGCTGACCCCAACTGACCAAAGGGATATTCCCATAGGTTTCTATTTATTTCCAACTGTTTAATAATATTAGTGGTACAAAACGCAGCAATGGAGCTGCTGGTTAAGGACACAGAATACTGGATCTAGAATGGATGTTTAACAAAGGAGATCAATGAGCTCTACCCAAGATTCTCAGCTCTTCTACTGCAACCAATCTTTTCTTCCACTCCAACCCACCGAGATGTCTAATAACAGCTGGCTTAAATTCATATTATAGAAAAATTGTCCATTTTAGAGATTGGCACTTATCCGCTTCACTGTTCACACATGTTCACATCTTACTTGTACCATGCTTCACAACCTGCTCACGAGCCCTCTCAGGTACAAAACATATACAAGCATAACTATTGACTAGTTCCCCTTTAAACCAAAATAACTTACTTTAGCTTCTTCTTCTTGTGCTTTTTTCACAATTGCCTGTAGCTGCACTTCACGTTTAAATTCCGCATGGAGTAATTTCTCCTCCATCATCCTACGTCTTTGATCTAATAATTCTTCTTTCCATTTCCGTACCTCTTTCTCCTATATAGAATGAGTACGTTCATTACTAACACAGTAACTGAAAAAAAGGCCTGAATTTTCCTCAGGATTTTCTAATATTTGAAGCTTTATTTCCAGTAATAAAACATTCTGATGCCCTATACAAGATCTGCATTAAGTTTAACCGAAGTACAATGATTTGCTAATTGCTTGAATTTGGTGAGTTTTGATTTAGGTGGATACAGGCCTTTTATTATGCCTTCCCTGAATCTGAATTGGTATAGCACGTCGTGCCAGCAACGCTCTTACAGCGTTCGTGATTGCAAATAATGCTTTCTTCAGTATCTGTGATGCATGCACAAGTCACCTGTGAAAACTGTATGAACTCAGACAAAAATTTCATTTTACCACTAATCTCTAACATTTCTAGATCACATGAGGGAAAAAAAACCCTTTTCTGAAAGACAGCAGTCAGCTCCTTGGAACTGCAGAAAGCTTACCCTCTCCATCAGTTTCTGAAGCTTCAGTGTCTTTTCTTCACGTAACTTTTCTCTCAGCTGTTGAGCTTTCATTTGTTTCTCTTCATGTTTCTTTTTGGATTCTGCTATTGTTCTTTTAATAAAAAGCAAAGCAGAGCAAAAACGAGACAACATGAACTGACAGCACTGCGAACATTTCTGTGTTGTTTTTAATAGGAGAAAACAAACAGACTGCTGGAGGGCACCTATTTCCCCTAGATGTAAACACTGTTCTTCCAGTCTTGAAATCCTTATTTAATGGACAACGTAGCACCAACACAGTTCATTATGAAAATAATATACTGATTTCTGTAACACTTTCCACCCACAGCCTCAAAGAAAGTAGATTTATGAGCAGTTTCATGCAGCCGTGAGTTTGGTTACTTGTTTTCACTGGTTAATCAAGACAGGTAACAACTCTAAAACCTTTTGCGTGACGGTGACGACAGTTTCTCGTGCATGTGTATTCCATGTCCAGGTGGACGTGCAGGCTCTTCTTCCACTCTGTCTCCCCAAGAATTACTCTGGCGCCACGGTTCACGAGCTGTACATAAGTAAACAAACACTTAGATCATTTAAACACACTTTTCTGGAAGAAGTACAATTAATGAGGCTTAGTTCCTCTTGTAGTTCTCTCTCAAATGGGTTCTCTTGAGCACAGATAAGGTGCAAACACAGACTAAAGCATCTCTAATCTCTGTGCATTTTCAATGCTTAATGATTCTATTATGCTTTTATCCAAATGTTAAATAAAACCAGGTAACAAATCTTAGAATTCTAATGCAGATAGGGGAAGAGAGCTGAAGAACAAAGACACACAGAGATAGTTTGCACATGCAAATCCATCTTTCCTAAGGAAATAACATTAAAAAATAACATAACTTGAATAATATTTACATGTTTGGGGGATCGTCACTAGCCATAAGTAAAATGGTTATTTGACTGTCATTTCAATGTAAGCACAGTAATACATGAAAATGTACCTTCATAATCTGCCAGAACATCATTCCAGTCCATAGACATACCACAGAAAGATATGCTTCCATTGCCCATACTAGCCTGAAATATAATGCAATCCAGACAGTAAACCCATAAACTTTCATTTGCAGGTGTACACATTAATAAACAGTGTCAACTCAGCCATACTCAGCAATGTTTCCAAGCTGAACTAGACTTCTCCAAGAGGCCGTTTCTGACAGTAGAAATAGAAATTTCTGCTTCACCTAGAGTAGCTCCTGTGTGGTAGCAACAAAAATAGCAAGTCCCAGCTCCCTCAGTTTTGCACAAAGAAACAGGCGGCAGGACAATGACTGCAGCAGCAGAGGACTTTATATCACTCAGCAACACCGTGCTTCTCAGTTTAGTAAGACTAAATAGTATGGTATAATTATTACATAGCGTTGTTTACCTTATTTGCATGTAAAAGAGGTAACATTCATGCAAGAAACAGCACTCAGAAATTCTATGCACATATTCCACTGACATCAAAGACAGTTTGAGATTGGGTGCTCTGAAATAAACTGAACACTCACAGAGAAATCACTGTCATTGTCAGTCTCAATATTAATGTCATTGTTTTCCTCTGCTTCAATCTCTCTAGTTAATTGCTCTTCTTCTGCAATAGCACTGGCAATGGCTTCTTCATTTGCCTTTTCCAGGCGATCTGCTAACTCTTCTTTCTTAGCAAGGACTTCTGCCATGGACTGTAGGAAACATGAAACCAGAAAAAAACCTCCCCAAATCAGCAGCAGGCACAAAAAAGTGGTTTCCATACAGTTAATATTAATATGCATTATATTTCACTCAACTTCTAAATACATGCAGTTCCTTTAAAAGCTGTATTTTATGAAGGTAACTAAAACATAAACCCCACTAAAAGTGTTAGTTTTAACTACTTATGAGTTAACTATTAATTCATTTAATAGCTATATGAAACACTTATGAAATCAATTATCATTCACATAATTCCAAAACACAGTACACAAGAGCTATCAACAAAAGCAACAAAGACAGTTCTTCTCTAATTATTCTTTTAAATACCTAGTCTTAGGGAGTAAGCAATGCATACTCTGAAGCATTAATGGCATGTTATTCTGTTGTTATCTCCAGAAAAGGGATAATGCTTCGGAGAATTATTTAAAGATGAAAATGGATCTGCAGATGAACTGTATCTGGAAACTTTACCATGATTAATACAATGGAATCTCAGGCTATACTTGTTTTTCAACTCAAATGGCAGGATAGTTAGGCAAGAATGTAAGCCTGAGTACGCTGCCTTTCCCTTCTCTAATATCCAGTATCAACTGGTTCATTTCCACTCTGCTATCAATGTGCCACAACACACAAACCGGTGTTTCAAGCAAACTAATAAGGAGTAGTGAAACAGTCAGAAGAGACAGAGATCCCACCAAACTGTCAGCATCCTGAACTGTTAATAATTGAGAATCTGAAATTATGTTAGTGGGTGAGATGCTGGAAATCAGCTCAAAAACCAAACAGATACTTGACCTGGAAATTACTTAGCAGGAGTCCAGTTTTTAAAAGATGTTAAAAAGGAAGCAATTTATAGGAAAACTTCTGCAAATCAGTTTTACTCTAGTTTCAGAAAAAAAAGGCAGAGCAAAACACAACCTGAAAGTATAATCTGGATTTTACATAGCATTACTGCAATCCTCCACTCAGAGAATCCCAGTAAAGCAGACACACCTTGCAAACTGTAGAATTCTACAGCAAAGAAAGGACATTCTTTTTGGGAAGCCACATACAAACAGAATACTGACTTCACAGCTGTTGCTTAAGAATGGCATTCATCCACATTGCTAGTTGTATAGGACGACCCAAGAAAGCAGTTCAGCTCATCTTAAAAGGCAGAGGTCTACCTTTGTCTCTAACAGAACTCCGATATCCCACGTGATTCCAGTTTCAATAATTAGCAAAACTGGAGTAAGAATTTAATGAAAGTCTGACTTAAAATGATGCATAGTGCAAGGAAAGTTCAAGACTTATGGGAAATTACATGCAAAAAAAGTCATGAGAGTGCAGATTTCTTTATTCCAAACAACACATCTACATCTCGTTTAAATTCAGAAACTTTGCTGGAATTAAATCCTATCATAAAAAGTATTTGTGCAACAAGTTATTTTTCCTATAGTAAGTACCTTATAGACTTTTTACAATTTCTACAGCAGGCTAGCAATAAACACTGTGCAACACAGAAGGAGAAAATTAAGGCTTACATTTATTATTTATTCAGAGATCTTTTAAGATTTCTTACCAATCTGGCAGCACTCACATTTGAAATATCTGAGGGATCCATTTCAGTTTCAGCTTCAGCTTTTTCTGTTTGATGCCAATCTATAGTATCAGTGATTACGGAGGAAGCTTCATTTATCTGCAGAGCTTCTGAAGTACAGTCAGTATTTGTGAGAACTGGAGGCATCTCAGAAACTACTTGTAAGGAATCTTCTTGCAGTGGTGTGCCAGTGCTCCCACTGTCTTCTGAGGTGTGTGCTGTGAACTAAAACAAGAGGCATTTGCAAGATTACCACCATGTAACATACCGATTCTTCGAGTCGCTGAAGTGAAAAGGATTTTAACAAATACCTGGCAACCTTACAGTGTGTGATCCAAGTCACCCCATGTATATTACAGTTGCTCATAGCCTTGCAAAAGTTGGATCTTTGTACTGGAAATCTTCTATATATGAAATGTGCCCAATGCTGAGTTTTTGGAAAACACAGGAAACCTGCCCACAGCATTCTAAACCATATGGGTCACCTCCTGATTTTTAACTTGCCAACTTGCACCAAAATCTTAATGTGCTTCCATAAATATGAAACAACTATTATCTTTAAATCCTTTTCCAATCTGGTTGGTGAATAAAAGCTCTAGACAACACTACCTCTAGAAATTGCTCTAATGAAAAGGTTGCAATATTTAAGCTTAGAAAACGGTTCAAAATTGTACTGACCTGGGTCCTTTCAGTAAGGGGACCTTCAGACTGATGTAAAGGATCCTTCTGCACAGGCTCAGTGCTTTTGGATGCACTGCTGTCAGCGAGTGAACCCCCATGCTTATTCTCTGATGGTGGTGCAATGACATTTTCTTTGTCACTGTCACCTCTGGACTTTGGTGATTCTGCAGCTACAGGAGCTTTTGTAGCCAACGCTGTGGATCGAGATCGAACAGGCCTTCCACGCTGAACTGTTTCCCAGCCCTCTGCATCCTTTCGATCTACAGAGAAAACAAACCACCTCATTCTAAGACAGGGAGACTTAGAAACAGAAGTACTATAGACAAGTATTTTATTATAGTATTACACAAGTTGTGGGATAAAAATATTCTCTTTAAAAATTAATAGCAACAAAAATCAATGAAATATTCTTTAGCAAGGTTTTTTACTTCAAGGATTGTTACCAGCTTCAGAAACACTGAACAACCCTATTCATGGAACCAGTTCTGTTGCCTCAAGAAGCTAAGCTAGTCATACACAAAACCATGTGAAGACGGCACCATGTAATTCAGCTTCTCATGCCAATTTCACGAGATGGTGAAGAACACCAAAGCAACCACTCTCTTGTTCTTCTTTGTAGCAACACCAGCGTTACAGGTCTTTTATGAAAGTGTAAATGGCTGCAAGTACAGGTGTAACTGCACATCTTAAGTGCAAAGGATTGTCCAGAGTATGGCTTACTATTCTTCCAGAAATTTACTTTTCCCATTTGTTTCATTCTGATAATAAAAATGCATTAATCAGTATCAGCTTTCAGAAAATAAACAGCAAAACAGTGCTACAGTTGAACTGCAAACTGGAGGAGAAAATAGTAAAATAGTTTTCTTCAATTTACTTTGATGACTAAATAGCTGTTAAATACAACATGTTGATCAACATTTCTGATACCTAACCTTGGGACATACCTGAAAAGCCTTCCAAGTTACATTTGTCTGCCTAAAGTACCATGTCTTAAGCTTGATCAGATTTCTAGAATATGAAGGGGAACTCCCTTCTCCATATATAGCATTTTGTGGCCAGCAAGTAAGAGCAGCACAAAACTTCCCTAGACATCTTGAAACGACTATGATTCTTCTGAGACCTGATGGTACAACTCACAAGTGTGAAAGGCAAGCTCATGCGAACCTATTTGCTGAACAAAATTCTTGCAAGAAGCTCAAGATCTAACTACATACGATACTTTCCAATATACTTTGGGTTTAAGCTATTCTTAGGATCATTCACATAAAAGGAAGAGAAAGGTACGGGAGATTCTCTACTCCTCCAGGCAAAAGTAATTAAAAACACTCCAACACTAAATTGGATGCTTTACAGAGGGAAAAAATCTGGAAGAGAACAGAACTTGTGTAATGGAATTAATTCTCTGAGTATTTTTAAAGCTTTTTCTAACAAAGATGGTTCTGTAGCTCAGGCATAAAGATCAGAGCTCAAACATTAAAAGTTTAACATAAAGATGACATTAAACTTTAACATAAACATGAATAGGAATAAATACAAGTTTACTTGGCTGTCAAAAAATGTCATTTGAATCACCCAATGGTGGTGAGAAGACTCAGCTATTTGTGTATTATGATGAATTGCACATTACCAACTTAAAGGCTGGCTTAAAACTTGCATTTCTAGAGATCTGATTTTTTAAAGCAAAATATGAAATTATTTCAAAAATAGAGTATGTTAAGTGTTATGCTCTCTAAAAATACCACCTGCTTCCAGTAGGTACACGATTGTGAGGTTACAAGAAGTGACCCATCCTTACGGATTGCAGTAACATCTCAATGCAGATAAACACACCCAAAGGGACATGAGAGAACAAAGTATTTTCTTCTTCCTTTCAGAACATGTATGTTTAATTTAAAGCAAGCTACAGGACACAAAAAGGACCTGTCTTAATATTAATTTTCATGGTCAAAAATGCTCAAGTCTTTTTAATTTTCCCTCCAGAGCATTTCTGGCAACTCTAAAGCAAGTGTACAGAAATTCTGTTACCCACATTCACTACAAGTGCTAGAAACTGTATAATACAAGGCACTGCAGAGGCACAGTCAGAGGACTGCCAACAAAAATGAAGACTATTTTAAACCAAAGATGAAAGTGTTGTACCTACTGCAGTACCCTGAGGTGGACTTGTTCCATATCAGCAGTAACCAGGAAACTGGAAATTAGCCTAAATCAGAACTAATGGCACTTTCATACTTTGCCACCCTTGGTACGCAAACATTAAGTGCTCATTTAACTACTGGGTTCTTTTAACATCTCAGCAGCCTACACCAGTGGCTGGTGTAAATCATGAGTAACCAGTGAAGTTAACAGGACTGTTCTGAAATTTATCTTAAGTGAGCAGCTTGTGCAATAGTTTTGACATAACTATATAACTGCTCACAAAGCTGAATACTCATAATAGAACAGATGCAAAAAGATAATGGTATTTTATTGCTGAAACTGCTTTACTCTAGAAAATTCACTGTGTATTTTAAAATAACCAAAATTCCAGTTCTTTGTATGACTGACTATAGCTGATCTCTTCAGATAACTGACAGCAACCAGAGAGAGCACACCTCTGAAAAAAGCCTTTTTGTGTTCATTCCCCCTCCATGTATTGGCACATGCTTCAGTATGTACCACTGATTAGAAGGGAAAGGAAGTCGAAAATATATGGATTATGTTTTTTGCTTTACCACAGGCTTTCCCCATTTGACTTTCCCCTGCAAGCACTTTGGCTTTCTTTTCTTTCCTTCTTCTTTTTATATGGAAAATTATTGTTACCTACTGGACCAACTGATCAGAACATGTCATTACCCTCTCATACACAATTTTATCGTCAACAATACTCCAGGGAATAGGGTTTTAGTTCTGCAAGAATCACAAACAGATTTACTGCAGAAAGCCTCAGGCACACAGCCCATGTAAGTCACGGCCCTGCATTACATGGGACAAGGACTGCTTAGGCCCCTTGTATATCGCAGCTGCTCCTACCCCACCGACTTTCCTAATTAGTAAGACCACAAAGGTTTTGCTGTATATAGCTTATGATAAAATTTGGCCAAGAAATGTCCCCGGCATGTAATATACAGACAATGAAGAGACTATTCAGAAGGCTGCTGAACTTGATTGAAACCCCACCACTGCTTCAGTGTAGCAGACTTGGGGATGGAGATTCCTTTTGCTTGTCAAACAAGACTGTTGCAGGATTTCACTTCTCCTTGTTCTGAAAATCAAAGTCATCTCTTACAAAAGGCATCTTTCCTACATTAAAAAAGATCAGGAAACACTCTTTAGTGGTATCTACTACCTAAAGATAATTTTACTATTATTATTATCTAGATAATAAGATATATTCATCTTACTTATACCTTAATAATAGTTGTACTAGTACCTTCCAATATATGTTACTACAATCTACTTAAGTTAGGTCTACTAAAAACCCCCCACCAAACAATTCTCACCTGACTTGCCTGTTGATTCCTTTTTTTTAGTAGTCTAAAATGACAGAATTAATCAGAATAAAATTATTCAGAGCACGGAAAAGCCATAATCACACTTATTATGATAGAAGAAAGGCTCATCCAACTATTTTAACAGCAGAGAAGAACTTGTGTTTAAAAGACTACTTTTCAGTGGATTCTTAAAAGACAACCCAGGTTTTAATGAAAGCAAGCATTCAGACTGTTGATTTATTTGGAAGCAGTTTAACAGTTTGATACCACCTGACAACTGCACGAGAAGTTACTTTTCCATTTTAATTCACTTATCAGTTTAATATTAAGTAATTTCAAGGCACATTTTTAACAAAACGTTTGCAAAGCTAATACATTTATTAGCATTAGATCACATCTAATGTGAAGCAAAGTTAATACGCAGTAGGGCACCGCCGTTCTTCTTTCCTTCACTTTTTTTCCCGAAGTCTGGAATTCTTTTCTACAGCCCAGTAGCCATCTCCACATACTAAGTATCACATGCTGGGTTTGATTACTCCCAGAGTTTTGTTAATGAATAATTCATTTGACTACCTTGATCATTCTCTAGTTTCATTTGAAGCTCCCCGTCCCTGCTTGCTCTTGTATTACATGGAAGTGACAAGCCATCTGTTACCTGGAGGCCCTCGCAGCCACCAGGGCTTTGTTCTTTCAGAGTTACTCCATGTGGAAGAACTGGCAGCCTCACAACTGCCTCGATATGCAACATCAAGAAAATAATCTAAGCAAGAATGTTGAAAACTCTCGAAAGTTCTACCTCAGGAGATGCATGTCCCTTCTTAAAACTTTACTTGCAAGTAATACACTAGCAAAGCTTATCTGACCTTCCCCACTCATTTCTGACCTTCAGCCCCATTTATTATTTTTTCTGTATCTGAAGTACTATTACTGTAACTGAGAGGCACTTTGGAAACCCATCACTGCTTGAGAATCTGGAGGCAAATCTGGAAACATGAACTCAGCTAAAACAGTTACAGGGCAGAAGACATGAAAACCAGAAAAGTAAAATAAAGAAAACCCCAGACTAAGTGTAGTGGTGCAAGAAGTGGTAAATTTACAGACTATAACAAGAGATGGTGAGATAACAGACAAGACTTTAGTTAGAGACGTTAACTGTCAGACTACTTTTAATGGCTACTGTTGCCTGTGTGTACTACTGATTCTAAACCAATCTCTTCACTTGCCACGAACTAGTCGGACAGTAAGCCCAAACTGTGTTTCATATTGTAGAAAGCACCCAAGCATGAAAGACAAAATTATATTTCTTTTAAACAGTAGAGGTTAATGATGGAAGTGAGGTAAGATGATTTAAACTAATTTAATTACAAATTGGGGGGGTAGGGGTGGGGTTGAAATCTTCTCTCTCCCTAAGGACTCATTTAGTTAAATGTGGAAATCCCATCAACCATGAAACAGATACAGGATCATACCACTGGTCCACTTCACAAAACCATTCTGAGACCTAATGATAACGCTGTTAGAAATCACTGGAGAACATGTGTTTTAGAGAAATCTTGCCACTGAAAGCCCCAGCTGGGCTTCAGGGTGGCCAAGAGAGCATTAGAAGGTGGCAGGAGGAGTCCTCCCACTTACAATGCCTGAACGTACCTAGCAGCTGGGAGTGCATTAGCTGGGGAACAGGCACAGCGCATGATACACAAACCTGCTTCAATAATGCATGTGAAGAGCCCTTGTGACTGACTCCCTTTGCTTAAACTTCACAGATTCTCGTGCTCCAATCAGTGATGCCAATTTGATTTTACCAAAGTGATTCCAGCCTCCATGCAAAGACTAGCATGCTCTTAAAGATAATTTAGTTTGTTAAAAACACTGCAATTCAGCCAGGAGAAAAATCACTGAAATTCTCCAGAGCTGAATGTCAGAGACAAGGGATTGTTAAGAACAAACAAAGCTTCCAGAAGGACTGACTGTTATTTCTTAAAATGAAATGTTTCAAGTCTGAATTGTATAGTACATTTGATTTTGAAAATTACTGAACACGGACAAGCCAGTATTACAGGACACTCTCTGGTTCTCATCAGCTGCAGGTAATGGACAATAAAACACAGCACAACATTGATTCTTCAGCCCTTTAAATGCCTAAAACTAACATAAGGGTAAGATATTTTCCTTTTAGCCTCTTAAGAATATGATATCCATATGGAAAGGCAGATCAGTTTTATTCCCTGTGTAGCTAATAAAACCCTCCATACGCACAAGAACCCCTAACAAAAGTATTTTAACAACAGCTTGGAGCCTGACACTTATCAACAGCTTGAAGTCTGACACTTATCAATATGAATGATAATCAACAGAAAAGGGTTTCATTATGAACAGCTTCAACTACTGACAAAATTTAGAAGTGGAATTACACCTTCTATTACACTGTTGAAAACTCAGCCAAACTGCTACTGTTCTCTAACCAGCTCACTGCAACTATATCCAGCAAGACATTCCCTCAGGAAAACAGCAGCAACCAATTCCCATTCAAACAACTGTTTTCAGAGTATGGTTTTGATTGGTTTTTGCTAAGAATCCACATGCTACTGAACTCACTTCTGTTAAACTACAAGGAATTTGGACAAGGTATTTTACTTCCAGAATGCAAAGCACTATACATGTCTTCTACTACTGCTAGGTTGAATGTGCAACTATCTTAAATTATTCCCTGCTCTTCCAGTAATTTTTCTTTAAAAAAACCCCCCAAATTATGAACATTTCCTTCTCATTTCTCTCAGAACACCCATTTCTCTCAGAACACCATCCTGCCTGCTGGTTTTGCAGAAAGTCATCTGGGACCACACATGAAAAAAATAAATGGAAGAAATGCTTCTCTGAAGACAATCCTAGCCTTACGGTGTGTGCGAAGCAACTATAAAGCAAATGGTAAAGTTCTTATGTCTACAAATAAATAAATCACTTCCAGAACGAAAGACCCTGCCATCAAGCATTCTCCAAGGAGAATCCTTAGAGAACCAACTGGTAAGTGAATGTGGTAACTCTTGCCTTCAAAAAAACATCAGTTGTTACTTCATCAAAGTTCTAATAACACTGTCTCCCTGGGCACATAAAACTATCTTGGGCTCTTTTAGGTCCTGGGCATCTATTATCCTTTAGATTGTTAAACCATTCCAAATTGCAGCCAGTGAGATTGTCAGTTTGTGACCAATGACCTTCCATTTCTCAGGGTGTTATGCACTGGTATTTTAACAGAGGAAATCCTAGTTAGTGGAAATACAGTGGAATGTTCCCTGCACGCGAAATACGACTTTGTCTCTAACATAACTACTAATACGCATTAATCTATTATCTCAATACTTTCTTTAAACATTTTATTTTGCAAAATTGGACTTACTTTTTGTTTGAAAATAGGTCATCACACTCAAAACTCACTTTACACCACATGGTAAAAATAACATAAGGCACTGAAAGAGACTTGCCATTTTTCCGCGATGACTTCTGTGCAGGAGGTGGCACGCAGGTTTGTGCTGTCGCTAGCTCAGGACTGGCAGCTTTAGTTCCATGACTGGCTTTTACCTTATCAGCCCAACTTACACCAGGAGCCAGGCGGGTGGCAGAAATGGTCACAGCAGGGTTCCTAAATGAAAGTCAGAGCTCTTTTTAGTGGCTAATCAAAGAACAGAATGGTTTGTTAGAAAACTTTATCAGGACACTTTCTCCCTAATCTTGGCGTCCAACGAGGCAGTCTGAGAGCTAGTTCCAAAGACTGGAATTTATTTTAAAATGAGAAGAAAAGCTTATTATAGTGACTCTTCACAAACCTGCCTCCTTTACCTTTCCAGTTTTAAAAGTAGTTCTTGAATATTCAAGCTTCAGTAGATTTCTCAACAGCAAAATCCCTATAAATTCAACTCATGAAGAAAGTAAAACTCACCACAGAAACAAGGATGCAGCAATGAATCAGCAGCGGTGGTGGGGGGTGGGGAGGGTATTATTTCTATTAAGTAACTATTTTGATAGCCCATTATATTCCCTGTCACAGGAAAGACAGAAAATAGTGCTGCACCAGGAGAAAAATCTCCAAGTGAGACTCCTTCTACTCAGTAGCCAATGAAAGTAAATTAAGAAGAAGCTAAATTCTTGGATTAAATTTTTTAAAATGTCTAATGACTAAAGAAGCATTCAGTACTCTGGTGCTGGACACAGAGCTCCCACAGGAAGCATCCTCTGATAGGGAATTTTACAATCACAGAAATAAAGATACAGTGAGTACATACAGCCAAATGTAACAGCTCTTCTATTGCATCTTCTTGGGTCCAGCCTCATTTCATAGGCTACAACCATTACTTTACAAGGAGTTTAACAAAAGATATGGGCAGGAAGTCCAAAAAAGTGCAGGCTTAACTGTAAATGTACATCACACAAATCCATCATATACTCTGTTTCAAGGTAAAATAAATGGATAGATTTATTTTCTATTACCTACTCAGCAAAACTAAATTGCTGGAAGGACATTCTATTAACTTTCTGAAAGGTCCAAGTAACAGTGACCACCTAAACTCTGAATTTCTTGATGGACAGAACTGCAGGGTTTTTCCATTAATTTGCTTTCTGTAACAAGTTGCTCTAGAGCAAAATCCTGCCCAGTTTTATTAAAATGAATGCAAGCAAACTTTTTTGAATTGGAAAATGGTAACACCAAGGAAGCACTCAATGTTCAAGAAACATTGAATTCTCTTCTGCAACAAGAGTAACAACTGATTTCTTTTCCAAGCTTTACACCACTGATTAAAAGAGTCCACCAAACCCAGCTGCCTCATTAGCTACAGCAAACCAAGGACAAAATAGGTATCTTGCAAGTTTCAAACAGATGTGTAGAAAACCCCACATAACCAGACTGGGCACTTATTTTAAGCCCAGTGAGATGTCAATTTGTCATTATCTGCTATTTTTATCAAGTCTGCCATCAAGAAAGAAAAAAAAGCTATCAGGAATAAGTCCATAAATTACAAAAACATGGCTGGTTGGTGGTTTTTAATAATCCCCATTGATCCTATGGAATGCAGTATCATTTCATGTGAGGAAACCAGGAAAAGAATCCAAGCCCCTTACTCCAATAGTGCCATACAACCGAGCACAGAGACTACTCAAATGTGCAGCATGGAACATCGTTTCCTTCGACATACTTTGAGGCTGCAGCAATGCACACTGAAAAGTTGTTGTGATAACAAAGGTGCATTTAATAATCAAAACCAGACTTTAACCTTTGTGATACTGATTTCTGAAGTCATTTATGCTTTTGGGATCCAAAGCATTGTATGATAACAAATTCTACTAAGTCTTGGAAAACACTTCTGCCATTTTAAGCTTGGTGCTTGATCACTGCAATTAGTCCTCCCAATTCCTTTTCACGAAAAATAGTGGACAACATTTTCCTACTCATCCTCTCTGTAAGTGATTTTGTTTATCATAACCTTCTTGTTATCCCTTCTCCAAATTCTCTGCTTTTTGCGTCAATACTGTTGGATACTTCTGATTGTTCCTGTTTCCAGTTTCTGTACTTTTCCTACTTTTCCTACACTGTTTTTGGGAAGAGATGAAGATGACCAAAGTTACAAGTCATTCACTATAAATTCTACACTGGTACACCACCACCTGTTCTCATGTCCTCCATTCCCTTCCTAGTAATTTCTAGCATTCTGTCAAAACTTTCCAGCATGCCATATATCAAGCATTTAAGCAGCCACCTCTCAGACACTGTCAGGTAGGTATCAGTACATACATCTACAAAGAGAGTACCACTGTTGGACCAATTTTTCAACCAAACACACTTTGTAATATTTTTGCAGAAATATTTTATATTCAAAATTGGATAGAGCTCAATACTTACAGGTACTGACCAGATGCTCTAATACTAGATCTCTAATGAGGACATTTTAACTACTTATGAAACAGAATAGTGTGTGATTGAGATCCCAACAACCCAGAATGAACTAAAAAACATACCCTGAGAAAGATGTAAACTGAACATGTATGCGCTCTCCAAGACTGAAACGGCACCAGACAGTGCTGCTCAAAACTGGTGTTCATGCACATTTGTGTTGAACTGCTTTCAAACATTTTAACAAGTAAAAGATTCCTTATTACAGCATATAATACACGCTGCATTTTAAGTAGGATCAGTTTCGCTATTCATCAGAATCCTGATAGTCTCACTTTACATTCACTCTTTTTGACCTATATTCACTTTTGCACACTCAGCTGGCCATTCACATTTCACACGATGCCAGTTTTAAAACACCAGTTACACATATTTTGACCTTTGTTTTGCAGTAGGAAGAGTACTGAACAGACAACATAGAACACACTAATTGTATTTTAACTTCAGGTCTTTGGAATGACCATTACTTAAATATATAACAAAGTAAAAAATTAAGTCCTTGATAGGATTCCTTTACAGACCCTGTGCTTTTCTTTCATGAATGCAAATAATTGCATATATGATTTAATAAACACCAACCAATACCTTGATTACTATAGAAAATGTGTATTCAATGAACTCTACTTCAAAGGAATCCTTATTTTAGCTTTAATAAACTTACGATCTGGTTTCGTACCCAAAATTTAAACTTCTTCGTGCATTTGATGTCACACTGATTCTGTCTGTTGATGGACTGGGAATCACATGGCGTCCTGGAGACATTTTCTTTACTTCCCAGGCTAATGAAGTAGGTCTGCAAGCACAGGAAAGAAAAATTTCAAAATAAAACTTGCAGTAACTATCCCTGTACCTCCAGTACACCAAAAACTTTAGAACTAACCAAATATAACACCATCCACTTCCATTATACTATTGATGTACCAAACTTTGCCAGCAATAATGTTTACTAATACATACGTACTTGCAAAGGTAACTGAACAGGTTAAGTCAACATAAAATGGTTTTATCCAAACAGATAAAAAGGTGAAAACCCAGCTAGAAGCCAGGGAAGCATTTTTATTATGCAGCCCATTGAAGATGTTTTAGTTTCAAGTACTGATTCTGAGGCTATCCGACACATGAAAATGACAACTGGCAATTAAAACAACCCCAAACTTGTAGAAGCCAGTGCTGGCGAAGACAGATTCAGAGAAGCACTTACATAAATATATATATACATAAATATTTTTTAACGTGCTCCAGTACTACTAGCAGGATTGTAACAACCTATAATCAACTAACAAAACCATTCTGTCACATTTGGTCTACTTTTTGTCTCTACCTAGGTGATGAGCAATTGAACTCACTACTTAACAAAGCAAAATGGAAGAACTAGAGTCTACTCCACAGGTTGTCTACAGGCACGAATTATACCAGCAAAACCCTATTTCTCATTTACATCCCAAAGCTAAAACTTAGGCACCAAGGCACAAACTGAACACTAGGCACAAATGTAGGGATGTCATCAGTTTTACCTTTCTGATCATGTACTTCCAAACCCTCTACCATTTGCAGCACAGCTGCTCACTGGTAACACTAACAGGGAGGATAAAATCCCCCCGTGTCCTCACACAAATTCTGTTCAAAATGAAAGCTCCCTGAGGCCCCAGAGCAAACCCAAAAATTGGTTCTATTTGCTGAATCTCTGCTACAAAATAAAGTTTACTATGAGACAGTATTTGGCTGTAGATTAAAAAATACATATCAATCTAAATACCTGCTTTGAGCATCAGCTTTTTCTAACTTCTCCTGTAGCTGTATCCAGTCAATCAATGCTTTGAAGTCCCTTACATAGTTATCAAGCATCATCAGGACTTCCTGAAAAGTAACCATTACATCAACCTTAGTATTCAAAAATGCCAATCCCTCCACCTCAATAAAGGAACTGAAAATGAAGTAGGAAGTTTATTGGTCTGTAGTATTCTCAGAAAGAATAAAACCAAAGAAAACACCTGAAAACAAAAAAGCCCAGATAGTTCAGATTTTTATGTGAACAAACATTAAAACATTTGTCCCATCAAAACCACGCACATTTCCCAACATCTCTGCAAGCACCAATGTCTAAGGACAAAACAGCAAAATCTGGCACAAAAATAATTCTTAAGAATCACAGTTTCAGGGGTTTTTTGTCAGAGTTGTTTTCTTTCAAAATACGCTGGACATACTTCATCAAATAAGCAAAACTGCCTGTAAAACCTGATAGACCTGTGGAAGACTAAAACTGTCACGATTAACCTGTTTGTGAAGTAAAAACACACAAGGCGACACAAAGGCAACTGCATCAGATGGAGGGAATTCCTCCTGGAGAACCCTGGGACCCCTGCATTAGAAAAAAAATGGTTCTTACACCTCTGAAGTTCAGCAAAGCGTATCCTGTGCCCACAGACTTCCAAGTGTGCACGATTTTCAAATGATGCCTGCTGGTGTAAGTACAGGTTAATGACAGACATTCTGCTGTCATGTGAGATTATCAGCACTATTGTACTAATAAAGCACTTTGTGATCAAAATCACTCTGAGAGTGATATTTTGAGAAGCAAAAAGAGAAAGATCAGAGCGTTACACTTGGTTTATAAAATCATCATGTTTGATATAAACTCGCTGAGAAAGAAACCAACGTAAATGGCAAAGTTTATATTCTCTTCTCTGATTAGCACACCTTAACAAGTGAAACAAGCCACTAACTGCACACTCTAATCTATGAATATAGTAATTACATTTCCAGACCTTACAACTCCAATACCCAGATTATACTTCTTGACCATTACAAACCAATCAATGTTACACCATTTTAAAAATCACTTCTCAACTCTACAGGCTTCCCCAAGTATTTCTGCATTTTTACATGAATAATCACTGCAAGCTGTAGTCATGAACACATTTCACGGCTTGGAAGATTTACATGTTATCATAAAATAACACAACGGGGAGGGATCTTAAGAGCAATCAGGTCCATCCTGTATTTCCGGGGTAGGATTAAACATACACTAAGAGAAATGATGTGGGTGTGCTGGAGTTTTATTCAAAACAGTGCGAAATCTTGATTAAGTAGTTAGAATCTTTTAAACTGTGTGTTGGTCTCTAACAAAATTAACTGTTACGGAAAGACACATAAAATTAACTTGACTTCACACTATATCAGGAAGGATTCCTAGACAGAATGCCAGTGGCTGAACAGTAGGAAACTAAAAGAGTTGTTTCTGGTAAAAATATGCTTAACTTTCAGAAATTATTGACTGTATCTACCCATTTCCAGTTTGGTCAAATGTACACGTTCACTAACTACAGTAAGGTCCAATTACATACAAAACCAATAAAATATTCAAAGGTAAACTGGGATCCTGCAGTCTTTACTCAGACAATACTGCCTACTGCCATTTGTTCACAGTAAAGCAGAGCGATTAAACTCTTAGCTTTGTTCCCTGAGTAAAATAGTTATTTTAATACACAGTTGCTTACTGTCAATGGAAGAGAAAGAAGCAATTCTTTACCATGTAAAAAGTTAGGAAATCATTTATATTCCACCTATAAACTCAAAAATAATTCACTGAATGTGGCATAAGGCACCTTCTCAGCAGAGCTGATTATCACCCAATGAAGCCCATGAATGTGTTTCTAACAGACAGTTCGAGGTCACATCAATCACAAATAGAAGCTTTCGTAACTACTCTTTCAAAGGCAAGAAAAATGTATATTGTACTCTGTGATGACAACATGCTGAAAATAATAAAAATCTATAAATGAAGTCTGATTTCTATAAAAACTTATACAAGCTTCACAAGCAAAGTTTAAAATACAGACATAATTTTACGGTATAAGGAAAAACACAAATGATGAAGTGTTGCTGTCGTGAAACTCTTCACTATGTCAAAGTCA